ACAATTTTTAACTGTCCTTCATTTCGTTCGATTAGGTAAAAAGAAATAATCATGAGAATTCATTCAAATGAACTGGTTGAAGGTTATGGTCAGAACTAGAGAGTACACCCTAATCAGTTTGTATGTTGCACTAAGATCCACAACTCTGCAGAATTCTTGAACTTCGGAAACATACTCGACTATTCAAAAGTTCCTACTTTGCTTCAGTATTCACGGTCAGTAAGAACCGAGCGACTGCTCCTGATCCTTGATGAAGCGGCGCTCAGGTTCGTTACAACTTGTATTACATATACGCCATTTGTCCGTTGGCCTTCACAAAAATGAAGGGGATTCAGAAATCGTAAAGCATTCCATTGTTATTTCACATTATTTTGATAAAGTAACATGGAAGAAGTCTTTCATAAAGAGATATTTTTCGGACGAAGTAAAAAAAAGTACCATTTTACGTCTAGATAGACGAACTACGTTTTCCAAAACCGGGATATAAGCACGCGCGATATTTCAAAGTTGGGAGCTGTACTGCATCAAATTGTCCGAAGCGAAAAAAAAAAACGGTGGATGTGAAAAACAATAAGTGCGTCTCTCACTTCCACCTCCTATTTCGTTTTTGAGTTGCTTTTCGACTTTTCTCTAGATATTCAATATAAATGGCAAGGTCACATTAGAGTTAAAGGTATTCGATTGCAGCGCAGTAAGTTTGCTTATTTCAAGTACGTTTATGAATGTAGCCAGCACTTATAGTGTTTGAAAGTTTTCCTAGTTAGCTATTCAGTAGAATTCGATGTGCTATTGCTTAGAGCGATGCGTTTAAATTTTTGAAAACAATATCAGTCCTCCATTTCGAGTAAGTTATGCTCACCGTTATAACCTTTTAGCACATTCTCCACGATCGGTCTTGCAGCAACGTTATACACTCGCATTTGGTCACAGTCCGGTGGAAAGACGGCATCAAAGAAAAATGTTCGTCTAGGCTCCTAAATTTTTTTGTAAATTCGCTTTTTGTTTATGAGCACTCGAGTCAGACCCGGTTGAACAAGAATGCCCAAAAAGTGTTGAACGATTACTCCAGCAACTATGATGACTGGTTACCAAAAGTCTTACGAAAGTGGGCAATGTCAAATTTGATGCCAACTAGTATGAAAATCAAATCTTTCAATCTGCAAGATCATAGGTTGAGATGCAGATTATAAAAAAAAAGAATTTTACAAGTATACTCAGCAAGAATTGAGCTCACCCTCACCTCTTTTCCATTTAGTTGTTCCAATATCACAGAGTTATCTTCCGCAGAAGCGCGGACCGCGACCTT